TGCTTAAATGCTATATTGCTTCATTGATGCTAATTGCATCTCATAACGATGTAGATTAATTACATGTAAGCACCAAATCCGATATACAGCTACTATGTAGCAAGTGAAAACCCTACTCGTAAGCCACACAAAAATAAACACGTAAATAAATGGCACCAAAACAAAAGGCACAAACAACAAAAAAGTTATCACAATAGATACATTAGTTAATTAGGTCACATCCCTCAACAGACTTTTGGGGCAAGTGCTGTTTGCGAGTAAAGACAAAGACACACGCACACACACGTATGCATGGGAAGGCGTGTTCCAGTACAGCCTCACATGGTATTGACATGAGTCAATGCAGCACTGCATCGCGAACATGGCGACCAAATTCTAGATTTGAAGCTTTCGTGACTGCAAGGATTCATACTTTTAGTTCTTTCGGTAAAGTCACGTAGGTAACTTTACCGAAAGAACTAAGAGTATGGTGACCAACGTTTGAATCACGGCCACAGCGAACATCAGTGGCAAGTAACGTCTGAACCAGTTCTGGGCGGCCCCACCTCCACCACTTCACCTGCTAACGCGGGGATTCTACAAACGTGTGAAACACCTCGACATTAAATTTCGATTTAAAGCTTTCGTGACTGCAGGGATTCATCTTCTTGGTTCTTTCGGTAAAGTCACTTTACCGAAAGAACCAAGAAGATGAACCTCGACATTTATCAGACCCTCTTCAACGAGTGTTTTCATGGGAGAGGAAACCGGCATACCTGGAGAAGACCCACTCATGTGAGGGCGTGCCACTAAAGGGTTTACACCAGGTTCACGAACCCGCTTGCTAAGTGCCTGGGCCCTCGCCACTCACTTTGTTCAACAGTGCACACGATGTCTCTAACTTGGATGTGTCTTTTAATGCATGTGTTCCTCTTTATTTATCGGTATAATATTCCGAGCATGCACCTTAGGTTTGGCATACGGAATACGCATTTAGCCGATAAAGTTTAGAAACATGTTATAAATCCTGACGCTGCATTGAAGCGTCACAGGATGGATGGATAGATGGAGGAGGCCATTTTCTGGTGATAGGGGTGGGTGCTCCACTGATACAAAAAATTGCCTCTATTTCTATTCTGCCAAAATGTCACACGGCTTTGGATGTTGGGTGGGCGCGTCGCGGGATCCATAAATTCATCACAATCGTCTCCTGTCTCCTCCCGTCACCAACGCGCCGCCCTTCTTCCCGTTCGCCCTGTGCTGCCTTCACCGGCTGAACGGAAGAGCAGCTATTAGCTCCCAATTAGCGCTGAGATGGAGCCGTATCACACCGCGTGACCTTTAGATAAATCAAACTATTCACTCGCCGTGACATCAAGCCATCCAGATGAGAAAGAAGCCATGGGGCAGGAGCAGGGCGCAGCCACACTTTGGAAGTCGGGGGCGTCCCTACTGGCGAATGGTTCCTGGTGGTCATTGGTTATATTACACATAGGGTCAGCGAAGTTCGCTCCCACTTGGCCACGGATTAGAAAAGTTCTACTGTACTATTGCTGTTATGTCTACGCAACTACTGCCTTTCGAGCCGACTGTTTATGTGCTCGTGTGTATTTTAAGGGGTCTGTCATCAGGATACATCAGCAACGATGTCAGTTAACTTGTTGAATAAATAAAAACACGGACTCAACAACTTAACATGTCTTAAATGTTGGGGGCGTCTCTAAGCTGTGTGTAAAAAAATGTTGGGGGTGTCCGCACACACATGACAGCTACAGCGGCTGTGCCTCTTAGGCAAGATGCACCAAAAGGAGTAATTGAGCTGTTGGTGCTGTAAAAAGGAAAACACCCGCGGTGACGTGATTGATTTTCTAAGCTTAGAAAACAAGCCGCATGGTTTGAGTTGTAAATAAGATTTTAGTTGACGATCTGTTATAGTTATCGTTTTAATTGAATGAGTTCAGCTGTCGCACACTCTTAATCGAAATCCCCGCGGAATGTAACAGGTGTTGCAAGAGACAGTTAATAGAAGTGTTGCTTTCATACCAATGGTATATTGCAAGGCCGTAGCCAAGGAGTCAACATTGGGGGGGGGGGGGACCAAATCTTCCAGGGGGTCTGGGCCCCCCCCCCAGAAAAAAAAAATCTAAATTTGAAAACTCATTTCCTGCCTAAAATATTTAAAAAAAATCACTAACACATAGGATGGACTTTGATTTATTTTATACAATAATGTCTAATAGTTTATTGTGTTACATTGCTATGTTTTTTTTCTTTTTAACCTTTTCTTGTTTCATTGTATGTAATGTTTGAGGTTAGGTATTAATAAAATACAACCATAGCCACAATCGCAATATATGGGGGGGGGGGGGCATTTTATTATAATTATGGCCTTGGTATATTGTAAACGTTATGCAATACGGATCAAACAAGTATGACTACCGCTTTGCACTTATTAAACTGCATTTTTTTTCGGATATAAGACAGAGCAGCTGACCTTTAGAGTTACAGGTAAGGTAATTTTAAGGAAACTTTATAATGCGCAGTAACAATTTACTGTATTTAAAGCATAACGTTATTAATCAGTGCTTATAACCTGCTTTGACATTTAGCTCAGAATCCAGGACACTGATGAAGAAGGTGGAATAAAATGTCAAACGCGTGTAAGGAGCATGGAGAGAGCCACGTGTAGAATTACACTGAGACAAAAAACAGGAACATATGGCAAAGAGGACACACCACAAACATACGTGTTACAGATGTCATATCGACTGTTAAGAAAAATGAGCTTTGGCAGAACACATCGCTGTAAGGGATGATGACCCGTTGAGGAGAACAACGAAGCCGTTGGGGTCAAAACAGCGTCCGTTCGTCGTGGAGCTGGAGCGATGAAATCAGCTCGTTTGTAGGCGCGAGGTGGGTCGTCCCATCACGGGACCATGAGAGGTGACCACGGTCTCTGGGAGGCCTTCATCCAGCGGTTGATTGATTATGACTGATGATGATATTATTTTACAAAATCATCCAAATACCACACTGGCCCAACACCAGGGATGTGGATTTTCCAACACTGGTTCAGAACCCCGAATGACAATGAGTGCCGCCACAACCGCTATTTGAGTGTGGAGACATTTAGGGCTTGATTAGTCTGGAATTTGTTTTCACGCGTTTGTGAAGTTCTGGTGTCAGCAGGATATTCCGCAAAACGAATGCAATAGTTTCTGGTCTGATTAATCGTGCCTATGATAGATTAGCTTTCAATGCATGCCCACTGTTTTCGTGCAGCATCTTGAGATGCGGTCGCATTTATATGCCATATCAATCCAAATTGTAGTTTGTTATAACGGTCTGCGAGAATACAATACAGCAAGTGGATGCTTGAATATATGTTTGCAGATATTTGATTATTACTTCCTCTAAGTATGCATTCTCTTTGAGTACTCCGATATATATCTATATATAAAAAAAAACCTCTTAAAACAAATGGTATGACTCAGTGAGGCTTTCCTGTGAACACTACATCTTCTGCACAATTTTAATAATCGTCATTATCAGCAGGAACAGAAACAGGAACATCGTTATTGTTATTATATTGACATCATCATTATAATTGTCTTCGCTTATATTCAGGATTAGGTTTTAGGCAGGTATTAATGCATGGCTTCATATTTGATGGATATATTTTCCGGGTCCCCCCAAACCCCCCATATTTTCTGGAGTTCAGCCTCTGACAGCTCCTGTTGAAATTTAGCCAACGATGTATGTAAAAGTATTGCACAGAATTGGAATCTGCATCATGGATTTTCGATTTTTTTTGTCCCAGAAGCTCGCTACGGGAGCCTTTGCCGTACACTGTTATAATTGCCGCTCTCCGTGGTGCTGAATCCGCACTCCTTTGCGCCGCCGCCTGGAATCTGGACGCAGCACAGCAGCGCAGTGCTGTTGTGTAGCTGGACGCGTTTGTCCCGCGCTACGATAATCTAGTGAACTTCGACGACAGGCACATCCGTGTCACACAGCAGCGCAACAGGCTTTTTTTACTATTCGTACGCCTGTCATTGTCTGTGTGCATTGACTTACCTATTACGGCGCTCATAAGGGCTACACATAAAGCACTTGGACCACTCGTTGTGCACCGTGGTTTTCGTCCACTTTAGGCTCATTGGACTCATCGTTCGTTTCCCTCTTTTTCGTCCGCAAATAATCAATTCTGGGCATGACACGAGGCAACCGGACCGTTCGTAATTGCTCCCGTATCACTTTGCGCGCCACTCTTTGCGCACGTGCGTCGGCCAGGCTGTTTCGCACGTGACGGTCATACGGGGAGGGAGCCTCTCGGGCTGCGCGGAATATTGTGTTCTCCATTAAATCCGCGTCTGCTGCAGCGTTTACAAAAATATCGATTTTCGTCCACCTCGGCAAAAGATAAATGTTCGCCTCTTGTTTGGCGCTCCTGCAGTCGATGAACACAGCCGGCGTTTTGCAATTACTAACGCGGCGCCCCGCACCGCTCCAATCGGGGGTCCACGTGTAGCGACGCACGCAGACCGCGAACCGTCACGGGAGCTTAGAGCAGCACCCGCGCTACGTGCTGCGTGATGGACGTGCACCACGTTGCGGAGTCACTCTACCTTCGCATGCACCGGAGCGCACGCGGCTTTGTGCGCCGCCTTCCACAAACACGAGGAAACACCATCCCCCGCTTCTTCTGTAAATCTAAAAATCCCTCGAGAAATAATTATATTAAGCAATAAGGGAGAGCTACTACTGCTGTGCTTTACGACCGCGACACTGTTTATTTACTGGGTGCTTTACGCGAAAAAAAGGAAAGGTGGTCTCGATTGGGTGTTGGGGAGAGGGAGGGAGGGAGGAGGAGGGTGGTGGTGAGGAGGAGTTAGGTTAAGATTACGGGTTGGTGTTGAAGCAGAGGGGGGAGGGATCGTCAGGACGGGTGGCTGTGGGGGAAGGGGAGGGGAGCCGGAGAGGAGGAGGAGGAGGGGTGTAACGAGCGACTGGGCGCACACTGGAACCGCGGGAATCTCTCCGGGACCCGCACGGAGCAGCGCCACTCTCACTTTGGCCGGCGGCAGCGCGGACCGCTCTCCCGTCCACGGCTGAGCTCCACCTCCCTGCTATCTCTCTCTACCCACTATAGTATTACGCACCCTCTGTGGAGCGGCTCGGAGTCGACAGCGGAGGCGGCTCTGCGCCGAGTCGGAGCGGGCAAAGCAGAGTCCGGCGCCCCTTCACACGCGTTAGGGGCACCATGGGACGACGAGACATGGGGCTTATTCCTCTAATAATGGTCGCTGTCTTCCTGGCACCTCATTCCGCCAAGGGCTACACGGGTATGTCAACGTGTGGCTGCTATTTTGTGATCTCGATCGCTTGTTTAATTCGTTGTCGCCCTACGTCGCACACAGATCCTGTGCGGCAGACACATCCGACGCGCTTGGTGAATTTACGCGGGTGTGTGTGTGTGTGCGTCTCGAGTGCGCGAAACTTACAACGGGATTTGTGAGTGTCCCAGCTAAAATAATATCTCTCTATGTGCCATGTTCTCTCTCAAATACGTCGGCGATCATGGCCTTCCTTCCCTTTACCTCAAGATACTAGATACTTTCAGTTGCATCCGATTGTTCAAATTGCTAATACGATCAATTCGCTGGCTTCTTGTACCTTTAATTGTCCCAGTTAAAATACATATCTATTCAGTTTCAAATGATATACGTCGCCTGACCTTGCTGCTTAGCCCCACACGATGCTGTTAAGTCACTTTGAAGCGGGCTCGTAACGCATCCTCGGGGCGGACAGGCGACGCGATGCATTTGCGCTGCAAGTTTCGTCGTGCACAGGGAACGTCCCGGCCACTCGCTGCCACATAGAAGATGCGATACGCGTGGTGAGCACTAAGCAATGTCAAGGTGGTTTCTGCTCGAAACACGTTTTGGAGCGTTTGATGCGCCTCAAACGCACTACTCCACGGACTGCATTACAGTGTCGTAGTAACTTTGGTTTAGTTAAAGCGAATCGCTAGTAGCTGCAACGCGTGTTTACCAAAAACATGGTCGAGTTTGCTAAGCCGTGCAGTTGGCATCTCTAGCTCAGCAAAATCTATGCGAATGCCAAGTCGCTTATTTTCGTGGCCATCAGTGATGAGATAATATAAGAAGGCGTGACAACTGCAACGGCAGTATGGTGCATGTTATACCCCGGTGGATGTTATCCCCTCCTAAAGCGCCATCTAAGTATAACCATTTTGCAAGTGAGTTTCTGCTATCAAATTACAGAATGCAATTAAGCGTGCAATAATGTATTACACTGTGCCATAAATTGCTCTGCCTGTGCGTGTAGCCTCGCGGTCTCATCTGCATCTGAACTTTTACGAAGGGCGCAATTGCTTGCGTTTGCACAACTTTCAAATCGATCTCATAAACATCCCCGTCAGCAGTTCACCTAATCTTGATGTGCGTGACCACGCAGTGCAGCCCAGTGAATGTTCGCGTTGTTAAAATGAAAGTTGTTTACAGCCCTTCGTCAATCCACCGCTGGACTAAGGCCTTCCCACGGCGTAGCTGTCTTCGGGTTTGTGTGACGAAGTGACCCATTTCGCGACAGATTAGTCCATCATTCGCTGCTGGTGTTAGCCGTGGCCTGGAATCCAACTCAGGCGACATGGTTTATAGCGCAGTGAGTCAACCACTGCCCATCCGCTCCTCTTTCTCGTGTTGTTAAAACAGTTCGCATAGCTCCTTGATCCATCGACACGAGCTAACGTTGACCACTTATACAACTTAACACATGGCATATTATTGACGCTTTCATACCTTCTAGTGCAAGTCAGCATTACTTCCAATATGTTTAACGGTGCCTGCTGTTTGTGTTTTTGTTATTCTACAAGGAACCGTTGTTTTTTTTAGCTTACAAATCTCGATAAATCGATCCTGGGGGGGTGGAATCTGCTCCAACCAGTTCAAGAAACCACACCGAGCCTCGACTCGCAGATGGGACAAATAGACTCATTACTATTCACCAGCCAACCCTTAAATCATGCACGGGCGGAGATCGAAGCGCAGCGGGTTTAATTCGAAGTAGAACACGTTATCAACTCGGAGACTCGCAAATCCAGGACACGTGTGTGCAGGTGCGACCCAGTAGAGTGAATTAGGAGCTGTAATCCGTTTCCAGTGCTATAAAGGTCGGTCATTACCGATGGCCGGTGTGACGCGCAAGGCAGCTGATGCAGCTTTGCTAGGTGGCCGGAGGTGTTCTACTTAATTTGTACAAAATTAATTGAACAATGTTCTATGTGCACTGTGCCGAGTACCATTAACAGCAGTTTAATTATAACTCAAAGCAGCAGAAACCCAGAGGTCGCCGGTTCTATTTCCCAGCACGAGAAATTGGAGCAATGTCCAAGTTTCTTAAATCCATCTACCTCTGTCCACCCAGGTTATGTATGGGTGCACCAAGATTAGTTTGTTCGGCGGGTCGCGTGTGTACATTAGTGTGGGTACTGCCACCTCTTTCAAGACGTCTAGCCAGTGTGGAGGAGCAGACCAAATGCCTGCTAGTGGAGTCCCTTCATCCAGCAGTGGCGTGAGCAATTTATTGTAGGGTTGCACCTTTACTACCCAGAGAAGGAGCAGCGCATGAGTTACAAAATACAACAGCATTACACCGTAAACCACATTTTGCATTTTAGATAGCAGCGTATAAATGCAACCACATCCCAAGCCGCTGCTCATAAACGGCATAATTATGTGAATGAGGCAGTCATTCATAGGTAGAGGACAAAAAGGAAGGCATTAGGTCTGACACTTTAGGAGTAAGCATGTATGTATGTATGTTGGACATCTTTCGCACCGTACATTAGCCAACCGTGCTAATCCGAGGGTGAGGGAGTTGCAAACTCTGGGACCCACGTGAAAATTATCTGGTGGCTTCGATTGCCAGCTTTGGTGGCTGGAGCGGACAGCGGACGGAAGGGTGGAGATGCGCAATGAGAGAGGAGCAGTAGGCTGGGGCGGTTTCTGGAAGTAGAGTGAGATTAGTTATTCCTTGGAGAATCGGGAAGATGATGAGTGTGATCTTATAAATGGTCCGGGATTAAATCCTTCCGATTTGCTTGTGTTATTTCCCACCAGTAGCTTCCATGATGTTTGCCGGAAACGGGATAAAGGAGTTGATAAAAAAAAATAGTTGAGTTTATTTATCTGTTTTCCCACTCATTCATTGACGTGGTCAATTCCAATGCGAACCGCGTTGTAATATCACTTGTTTTGCACCATATCTTTAGGCCATGCGCCGTATGGTTCGTACACACACACGCTGCCATAAATTGCATTCCTTGCTCGTAAAATTTAAGGAAACGTGAAGTCTGCTGCCTGTGCCAAAATTACGTTCTATCGTACTGCATCACTGGCTGAGTTTTGGAGGGGCCGTCCGAGCAGGATGGATTTTTTTCTGCGCATAATTCACCAGAGGCCTCTCACTCCCAGAATATTCTGTGTCGCTCATCAAAGGGCGATGAGAAGCTTCATCTGACAAGTATGAAGCTATCTCTCATCAGATGGGGCCAGGACACGGGGATATGTCTCACTATTAACTATTGACAAAATTCACATCTGCTGTTGTGTGATTGCAAACATATATATTGTTTTGCTAAAAAGTACATTTTAAAGAATCTACTTGAGCAGGAATTTCAAATGAAATCTGTAAATTGATTTACAGAAACGATTCTGCCAATAATTTACAAAAGCACAATGCTTATTTACTTAAAAAAACACAATGACAAATAAAAATGGCTTCAGAGAACACTGGTAGTATAGTGAATTCCCTTTGATGTTTCTATTCTTGGGTTTTTTCGGTAAAGTCACGTAGGTAAATTTTTTTAAATAAAATAAAAATAAACTAAAAATCACGACGTTTCGGAGGCAACACAAGCCTCCGTCTTCAGGTGGAACAGTCAAATGAGTAATTTACTTGATACAGCGAGCGTGCTGTGACGGTTCCACCTGAAAACGGAGGCTTGTGTTGCCTCCGAAACGTCGTGATTTTTTTTTTAATTTTTATTTTACCTACGTGACTTTACCGAAAAAACCCAAGAATATGAATCCTTGCAGTCACGAAAGCTTCAAATCTAGAATTTGATATACCTATTCTGCACGGCCTTTTTTTTAGAAATTATTTGCTGGGTCATGGTGTCGCACGCCTGTAATCCCGTGCTGTGGAGGCGATGGTTGGTGGATGGCACAAACGTTGCTAAACTCCCTTTCTATGGATGTCGATGAGATGCCAAAACCTGGCTGGCCAGGAGAAGTAGGTATAGAAAAGTGCATACTAATATCATCTGTCCATTCTATAAGAGATACAGTGTTGCCCCCTCACACACATGGGCTTTCCCCGGGAGCCCCGGTTTCCACTCATTTGTATGAACACATTAATTGGCCCGAAATACATCTTAGTATATAGAGGACTGCAGAGCTTGGGAAATTGTTGGCGCTAGCCCACCACCTGGCTGCCTTCCAGCTCGTTTGCAATTCCCCAGCTATTGTGAGATGCAATTTGCATGAATGACGCTATATAAGCTCAGCTAAATCGCAGAAAGTGTAGTGTTGGTCAGCTTAGCATCATGTGGGTGTAAAAAAAAATGCTCTTACTCGCATCTTGTGAAAGTGTCTTGTAAAACATTTAAGAAACATAAGTCTTTAAAGTTTATATCACACAGCCCACCGCGTTAACACAAAGAGGTCATGAACTATTGCTGCAAGTGAGAGCAATTTTGCATTTCAACGTATAAATTTGTAATGCGTCTGTGCTGGTCTATAGGATCTGATTCAACTTTTACTAGCAACGATGCGCACAATGCACCTTTAGCCAGTGTGTTTAATAGAACGCATTAAAAATTTAAACCTTCGCTTTTGGGAATCTTTCCTCACCTTGCCAAGGCTAACAGACAACTTGTTTGCCCTTGTTTAAAAAATAACAACCCTAAAGTACATGTCCAATAAGACGTTTAAATAGTGATTTTTAACAGGAAATTTATTTTATGTTATATTACTTAGTGAAAATATGACGCAGTCCACGCAAAGAAATACAGGCTGCACATTTCAGTTTTTGCACACAAAATCGGAGAGCACAGCAGTGAAAAATCAAGAAAATCTTCCTCATAGCAAACAGTTTTTGGCAATTTCTCTTTGGTTCTTTCGGTAAAGTCGCATAGAAAATAAAATCAAATAATAATAGAATACGACGTTTCGATTGCAACACGAGCAACCATCATCAGGTAATAATGAATGAGAAAAAACAAACATTGAACTTACAAATATAATGCAATACAACACAG